AATTCCGCCTTGGGTGAATCAGTTCGCTAGTGCAAAAAGGGCGCTCATTTCGTTAGGGGGAACACTCAAGTGAGTGATCCCCTTACAGTACTTCAGACTAAGGAAGCTTTAGTTAGGAGAAGGGAACCTGGGGAAGGGGATCCGAGCAATTTTTCATTGTTCCTGGCGTTTCGCTACACCTGGCATACAAGATTATAAGCTCAGGAAGGTTAGGGTAGTATAGCGTATATTTAATAATATTTCCCGACGGTTTTTTAAAGCCCTATTTCGAATGCCCCCCCCCCCTAATGACATGATCACCTAAAATGGGAACTAGGTGCATATCATGTTTCCTAATCGTTTATAGTTCAAGGAAAATGTTTGTCAAGAATATAAGTGTCTCGAATTCTTTGCGCGGTAATATCCCCCTACCTCCCCCTCTTCTGACTACACGACTCATTTTTTGTTCCTTCTCATTCTCATCTCTTCTGATGAATGAGTTGGAAAATGGGTTGTTAGTGAGAATTCAGCTTTTTTTAATGGTTAGCATGACAATAGAAAATAAACAGGGGTCTTATTCAGTAAGGGGGCCATGTGTTGCGAGAGTTCATATCGCTCGGTCATGCAATTTTTCGCAGGGAAAGCCTTGACTTCTGTTACCACCCTAAGCACCATGGCTGTCCCCACTCACTGCAGTTGATTCTGGTACCAGTAGACACGCTCCAGCCCCGCCCACTCTCTGCTCCAAAATAACGAGCAGGGTTGGGAAAAGGGCGCGGAGTGGAGGCGGGGTTCATATGCCTGAATAAACGACAACCTTTTCATTTTGTCTATTTCATCCTTTTTCCGTGGTTTTCACCTATGTCGTCAAAAAAAAAACGCCAAACACGACCCATTCAACTTCCACAAAATGACTCCCTATTTCGACCTCTTCGCCAACCCCCCCCCCCCCCAATACGACCTCCATCCAAAAAACTCAAATACGGCCCTCCGTGGAGGAGTGCGCAACGGACGGGTGACCCGGCTCGTTTGCGGACTACTTGAACTCAGTTATTTAGGGCCGATGTCAGACTTTGCGAATCGAGCAATCGCTCGATTTGCTCGATTCGCAGAGTCTGACATCGGCTTAAACCGCCTCAATTTGATGCTTTGCCTGGGCTCTCTCGTCAAAAGCGGCTCATGCCCACTGTGATATCTCACACTCGAACTTTTAGCACTTTTAATTGGCTCGACCACTCCAGGGGCCGTATGCTGAATGTTGGGGAGGGGACGGGGATGGGAAAGGTTGGGGAGGTTCGTCGCAGGACCCACTGGGCAACGGCCGCACCTTTGATTTTGCAGCTTTGTTTCCATTCTTTCATTGCTGTTTTTTGGATGAAGAAAGGTATTGACGAGCGAATATACAATCGGGTGAACAGAAATTACGGTAACAAGAGCGTACCGTGTACAATTCTAAGATTAAACGAAAGGGGTTTTGAGTATAGCTTTTGCGCATTTGATTCTATTGATACGATGTTCACTCTTTAATTTTACCACTCGGATTCTACCTAGTTTGGATTGTTTAAGCCTTTAGCTCTTCATGAAATAACGACCCGCTTGCTTCTTCAACATGTCTGGTGGTGTTACGTTGCAAAGCGAATCAGGATCTTCAGTAAAGCTGCAACAACCACTATTGCGAAGAACAATTGGCTAGGTGCTAGAAGCGATTGGATTGCACGTGGGAGAGGAGCTTTTGTTGTTACTGAGAACAATGTTGAAAAAGTAGGCGCTGAGCAGCGATGGAATCTAGCACATTCAGCAGGTCATTTTTTCCCGTGTTAGGGACCAGGTGCACTTCTTTGCATGTGATCGTCAGAAGACATCCCATGGGTGAGGCACATTAGCTTGGAACAGCTCAGCTCTCCAATGAGGCGAGCAAACTGAAGAGGAGCTGGAGCTGGACGGAGGCGTTGTCTCAGTTCATATTGACAACCTTTTTCGCTGATGAGGAAGTACTCACAGTCGAATTAGTCATGAATGGATAGAGCGACCAAAACTGTATTCCAAACAAGCCAAAGTTCAATATCTCAGACATAACTGGGTCCGGAAACAGTGAAGGTTTTTACGGTGATGAAACCGAAAATCACGTCGCTTTTGACTTTTGTTCCACAAAACATAAAATAGAAGAGAAAAGACCATCTCGATTTCTTTCTCACTCAAATAATTCCTCCAACCAAGGGAAGAAATAGCAACCTCATCGAACGTTTCTGTTGAACCGGCACACGAGAAAATTTGTGCAAAGTTCTTGCCAGCTGAATTGCCCAGAGATAATTGCGTTTGGAAAGTTGCGACCTAGAGTTCCCAATTCAAATCTACTGGTTCACGCTTCACGAAGAGTGGGGAAGACCAGCACCTGCCGCTGACATCATGGTGACGTTAAGGGATTGAAGGAACCGCTTCATAATGCCTGGACGCGGTCGGGGCCGCTCATCAACACGCCGCAGTCAGTGCATTCCCTGGAAGACTTCGCGCTTTTTTCAAACCGGATAGGGGCTACTGGGAAGGACCATATGGTTTTACATTCATTACCCTTCAGTGAACACGTTCTTGTTTCCCACCTATCTTTTTCTAGTTGTACAGATTTCCTATGACCCCTTCATCTTGTTACCGTAATTTCTGGCCACCCTGTACAATATATCAAGAACGTAAAAGTGAAGGCACAAACTGCAACATCAAAGATTGGCGCCCGGTTGTAAACCAGATGGCTTGTGGCGACGGAACCTCACCTCCGCCCCAACATTTTCCGCATTCCGTCCCATCGCCCGGCAAAATTCAGCATACGGCCCCAGAATCCCTGCCCTCCCCCTCCAAGGCATCATCTTGAGACTTGCACCTTCCTCCTTGAGATTTGATGCGAGCCAGGTGCCGCTCTTCAATTGTTTGTGCTCTAGCCATTCTTGGCAGACCATAGAAGAAAGTCCAAGTAGTTCGTACCGGTCCTTAGATTATCAGCCCTGCAAAATGTTGGGGGTCTATTCCAGTTAGGGGGGACATCATGATGCAGTTTTTCCAGAAAGCTAGGTAACTCCGAGCCAGGGGGAGTGTAGCCAGTCTAGGGGGTGGGGGTGAGGGCAGTCACTTGACATGCGTGAAAAGCTGGAATGTTCGAGTTCACACTAGTTCGCCGAGAAACTGCATCATGATGCCCCCCCCCTAACTGGAATAGACCCCAGCTGGGACTACTGTAGGCGGCACGAAATAGTGCACCACGAAATCTTTCTCGTCCACAGTAATTCTTGGGATATCCCAGCAGGTGCAAGATGTGTACACCAACAGAACACTGAAGGCGCTAAGTGAGCAGTGAAATGCTCGGGAAATCAAAAAAGGTTTCTGAGGGGCACTCTAGTAACATCAAGTACAAGATACTGCCATGGGTACTGGGCTTGGCAAGATGCCAAGGGCAACGCACGCGCCACACGCTTCGTGCGTACGCAGTACTATCGGCTGCGAGCTGCCATCGAATGAAATCGCCGTTTGAAAGTGGCGCGTGTGCCCTGATTCTCAGGCACGGGCATGACGTCATTTTCATAGCGGCATCGGTGACGTCACCGAGGACAGCTTAATTTCAAATCCATTTATTAATTAGGCTAAGAATCCATTCTCATAATGTAAACTTTGGGTGTTCCTTAATTCCCTGCTTGTTGGAAATGTGTTTAAGTAGTGGCTCAACTAATAAGTTCACTAGTAAGACGCCTTTCTTTCTACTTTGCATTCTACTTTTTGAAGTTTGTTGAGGTTCTGAACTTTATCTCATGATATCTCCTTTAGGAGAGTTTGAACGGTGTTGACAAGTCTCAGGTTTTAAGGTACTGTTTTATGCGCTGCGTCGCATACCATCAGTAGTTGGGAGCAGGTTTTTGTTTCCAGCTGCCAGTCGAGATGTCCATTCAACAGGGAAATGGTGGGCAGGTTAGTGTCTAGATTTGGAACTAGTTATGTGGTAGTTTACACTTTGTTCTATAGCATTTTTCCAGAAATGGAACTATTAACGGCTATATTCATTTGATCGTTAAGTTAACAATTTTTAATACATCTTAATACAGTTGCATTTATTGGTAAACTCAAATAAGTGAGTCAAGTATTCTACCAGCATTTCAAAAATATTCCTTCACATGTTATTTTTTCTTACAGTCATATCACTCATCCAATTTACTATTGCGCTCTCTGCGCTGTTTTCTGACTTTGTGGGCTAACTGTGCGTTTAAAGGTGGAATATTTCAAAAAAAAAACAGAGGGTATACGTGACATAGTCAATTTATTTTACCATACTTCGTATTTTTCAATTTTTCTCGATGTTAGCAGTACATTTCAAAACTTTGCAAAGTTACAAGGTTGTACACAAATATTCTTTAGTCTATCAGTTCAGGAGAATAAAGGCGAGTAATTAGAGAGATGGGCTGGTAGCTCTGTGAAATCTAGAGCGTATAAATAAGTTTGATCATGCTGTGTACATTGAATGTTTCGGAAATTTTTGAGTTGTAGAAAAATTCTCTGTCCCATGTAAATTCGTTGTTTAGTACCATCGTTACAATCAACCGTTTATATAGTTATTTTCACACTTTACGCGAAACGTATACTCATCTTCCATAGTACACCTTTCCTCACGAATTTCTAGTTCTTTTTTTATGAACGCTTGACATATAATTGCTTCTTTTTAAAACGGAAAATTTCAATGAATTGTGGATAGAATGTGTAAACGAAATCGAGATAATTGCAACGTATCATAATTAATTTTTTGCTTCTATTTCTCATTAGATTGCTTCTTTTGAAGCTAGGCTAATTGATAAGTTTATTTTCATATTTTGCTTTCGTGTTTCTGCTGCAACCCGATTTCCACCTCTTTCTTTCTTCAGGTGCGATTTGAGAACTTCGCACTTTTACGACTATAGAAATTATGACAGTACTTTCAATGTCCTATCGATTCCGCAGATAATGATGAGTTAGGTGTAGCGGATGTTTTGCGGGATATCGGTTCTTGATATTGGTATCGCCTGAGTGTGTTAATCCCCTCTTCGCGAAAGCGAGCCGTCGATCCGCTCAGCTCACTTCGAAAAAGGCCCTTTTCACGCACGCATCTATTCGTACACCTCTGTAATTTTCATTTTCTTTGTCGCTACCTGCCGCTTTTTTACGCTATGCTGTTGTTCAAGGTGGGCGCTATTTTTGTTTCAGTTTTTAAGAATTCACATGAAATGAACATTTTGTTTTATTTAAATCATTTTATATCACAAGCTCTTAAAAATTTTCAATTAATCAAGAAGTTTTGCTTTCTATTCTAGCGGATATGTCCGTTTTTGTGAGTAGAATGGCCGCTTACAGTGTTGCTTAGCGGCGCTCTTATATTATAGCCCTGATCAGTAGTGATTATTGCTCTATAGCTCATTTTTATATTTCCCATGCATTATTTTCTTATATAATTTTGTTCATTTTCATCGAAACTATACTTATTTTGGTTAGTTTCACTCGGGATACATGTTTCTAGGCTCTTTCGGGGGAGGAGGTCATGAGCGAAGATGAAGCACGAAAACGACGCGAACAGCTCAACAGAAGGCCAAGTTACCGGTACGGTTCACTATTTTTGGATCTATTCCATTTTTTAGAACACATCGAACCATTATAGGTTACTTAGTACTTTTGCATAAAATATAACCTTACAGTCAATCATTTTGTTTTTGTTTTTTGCAGCCAAGTTACACTGTGTGTCAGATATCGTTTTTTTGCTTCATACTTTGCTTGTATGAATTCTCATCGAGTGGAATTATCTTGACGGCATGTTAGTGTCATTCACACCCCCATTCGGCCGTTACCATGGTAACTTAGTCGAACCGTCATCTAAAAGATTGCGTATCTAGCGAATGCAGGAAGGGTATCTATACGGATAATCTCGTCTTTACGAGGGACCCAGTAGTAGTAGACAAGCGTGCAGCTTTGTGAGCATTCTTCGTCGAATGCTTTCGATTTGTTTGATATAGGAGGGAGCTGTTTCATGGACTTTCCTTCTGATTGTCTAGGAACCGGAACAAACACAGTAAATAGTTATTAAAACGGCGAAGCAGATGATTAACGTCATGAGCTTCCTTTATTTACTAGTGAACTGAAATTGCCAAGAAAGTACCGACTATCCAGGAAATGTTTTGAACTTCCCATAAAACTTTGGAAGGAGACCTAGATCGATAGAGTCTTGAACGCTGATTACAAATATGGACACTAAAACTGCTACGTGAACTTCCTAAGAAAGTTATGAGCCTTCAAAGTTGGCAAAAAACGTTACTGAGGCGAGCTTACCTGGTGGAATCACAGTCGCCGTGGCTCTGCGCCAAAAACGAGTCTCATATTCGTAATCAGGGCACCCATTTACCCTTATAGAACAAGTTCCAGGCAAAAAGCAACCGTGTTTCCACAGGTTGCACCTCATCATTAGCGTTTTTTGCAACTTTTAAGGCTCACAACTTTCTTACAAAGTTCACGTAGCAGTTTTAGTGTCCATATTTGTAATCAGCGTCCAAGACTCTATCGATGTACCTAGGTCTCCTCTCAAAGTTCCAGGGGAAGTTCCTGGTAGTGAAAATCATACAGAAGGGAAAAAATGGAAGCGATAGGGTGGTAGGCTATGCTAATGCCGCTTGCGAACGCGATGCAGTAACGACCAATTACAGGCGGTTCCTAAAGGTCCCATCTCGGTTCGATATTGGACCAAGCTACTGACAGGTTCGGTGCACTGAGTGCAAACCAGGTCTGAAAGCCCTCATAAGACAGAAGCGAATTCAAACGCTGCTGCGATTCTGGAGTCTGAGGCTTATACCTGGCGCCTCAAGAGAATTGCGAAAATCATTGCGAATGTGCAATGTGTCGAGCAAATAATAGATTACAAAATTTTGGCGAATCATACGGACTATCATTAAACGTACTATCGTAATTGAACTGTGGCAACATTAGCACTCATACCCAGATCTGTACCAGGAAGAAGGTTAATTCTAATGAGTACACTACTACTATATCTAATAAATTCGTCATTATCTGCTATAAAGAATTATGTCGAGTATTTGAGCAGGTGGCAGTGTCGTTATTTTTCACTCTCAACGTTCAGTGAATGTTGCCTTCTCTCAGCGAATTGTTTCGATTAAGTGCCTATACATAATAAGGCCCTCAAGGCAAGGCCCAGTATGCTGTCCTTCCTTCGCCGGGAGGAAGGAACGAAATCCTTCAAGTTTTTTTTTGTCTTCCCAAACAGATTCGTTCTAAAAGTGGTATTCTGTATAAGCATGGTTTATATAGGCGACTGGTATAATATACAAATAAATTTGAAGGAATTTTCGCCTGCTAATTCTGAGAGAAGAATAGCACACTGCTCAAGGATCACTGAAATAGTTTGAGAGTGAGTAATGGAGTGTAAGTGACTGTTCGTGATAGAGAATGTCCTAGTTTGGGACTTTACGGCTAGTACATGAATTTGTTTCGCAGATAAATAAAAGTATGGATCAGGGAAAACTACAGTAGATTCCTTGAAATACATTTTTCAAGTTAGGAGGGAAAGTTTGTCTGAGTAGTTCCCATAACGGAAGCACAGGTCTGTGTGTATTTCTGGTTTTATTTAGAAGTTGATCGGCATCGATTAGTGCAACAATCCTAAGAACTGGGAGTCATCTATTTTTTTTATGGCACTACTATCTTTCTCCTCATGTTTGTCTTAATTTATATTATACTTATTCTTTTGCTTCCACTTAACTATCGTGTGATCAGAGATTAAGCTTCATATTCTGTTCTTATTTAGCGATCATTCTAGAATCGTTTTTTTTTGTCGTGGCCCTCAATGAAAATATATTTTATACCATAACGAATTGTCTAATTACATCTCTGCATGAAGAAATACCTTCCTTCAAATGCTTGGCAATAAACGGATATATATTCTTGCATCACGCTTCAATATTATCCTCTAGTCACCTAATTTCTCCTTCCATTTTCTGCGTACCACATATCTTGGAGACCTCGTCAGATAAGCCGACGTTCCAGCGAACTGTTGCTTTGAGGTCCTCATTTGTGATCAGCTAGTCCTCTTTTACTTCTTATGTTGTCGTTTGATTTTTTTATTATCGAAATTTTAATCATTTTCCGATTTTATGCGTTAGAGGAAATTCGCTGCAGACAGATAATCTTAGACGAACAAAGTAAGGTGAAATTATTTGAAACAGTTGAAATATTAACGCGGTTGTGCGGTGGAGTTAGTTTTCCAAAGACGTCTCCTTATCTTGCTTCTGTTTTACTTCAGCTGCTCCAAGTTTTAGGGCCTGAAATGAATATACAGATTAGATCTGGAGAAGCAGTGACAATGAATTGATACAGATGTAGACCTGGAAGAAAGAGTAGGGTAAGAGAAGATCAAAAATGAACGTATCCATGTACATCTACTGATCTTCTCCAATTCAATATTAACGAATATGATCACAACATCATGGACACTTATTCAAGCAATGGTTCGGGTTCATCCAGCGTGTGTTCTTTTTCACGCTTCACTACTGTCCCCTTCCTTTTCATAGATGACGGTTTTCAATTTCAATAGTAATTCTTTGTCATCGCTATTCTATTATAGAATGATTCTGAAGGATCTGGAGACGGCGGATAAAGTTCTAAAGAAGGAGCCGGATGAAACGCCTCCATCATCTGTTGATGCATCACCCCTTCAGGTTTACGCCTTCTTTTCTATTTCATTCTTTAACTCGTTTGAAAAATGCGATTTGTCAGGTTAATATACCTCCATCAACTGGGCGATCCAGCGTAACCAGCGGTCCTAGTCCCTACGCATCTCCTTTAACCGGTGCATCTCTACTGCAAGGCAGCAGCCTTCCTCACCCACTCCATCTCAATGGCGATCTTGGAACCTTGCCTCCGGGACTTGATTTTGCTGCTGCAATTGCTGCTGCTGCTTCATCCAGTCAGAATACTGCTTTATCTGTTGGAGCAGGTAGGCATTTTTATCGGCTTTTGGATTTATTTATCTATTTATTGGTCAATCTGAGAGAGCATAAGAGTGATAAGTGAATTTAACTTGAGCCACAACCTATTGACTTGTTCGAATCTCCAGTAAACTTGATTTCCAGAATTCCATTACAGTCAGTTATCGGTTTCTTTTGGATTTCTTTGTGTGGAACAATGATCGCGGCTTTGGGCTACTACTGCATTTTTTTCAGTTAATGATTAGTGAAGCTTTTTGGAATGATAGTTACTCATAATGTTTCGGGAACTGAATAGAATAGGTCAAAACAGTATTCAGCAAGAGAGTTGCGTCATTTGATTATATGAAATTCTGTAAATAAAGTCCCAGTGATTCATTTCCCGCCTGAAAACCCGGAATTTCAGCAACACAGGTCGGTAAATTTCGTGCGAGGCGCTCAGCAATCTTCCAATGAATTAAGAATGAGAGTTCCAGGAAGTCTGCAGCGGTGCACCCATGGAAGGCTTGCTCTAGGGACCGAGCTGCCGCAACGGGCGTACCTAGGGGGCGGCACAACAGGCAGGAAATGACGACTGGCTTGGATTATTAAGGAAGCAACATCCTGAATTAGCACTCATAGTGTAATTACTGCACAGTCCTACAGTTTCTTTAATGCTTTCTTTATATTGGCACTTTTCAAGCCTGGTGTTGTTTTCCAATCAATTTCCAAGCTAGGTTATTTCATGGGCTCAACAACAAAGTATTACTAGCAATCAAAATGTGATCGATTTCCTGTGCTATGTTCTAGATGATCAGTAAATCCAGTCTGTACCTAGATATGGATTTTATTGGAGGGCAGTGGGAGAATGATCATTGCCTTCTTAAATTTGGTGACACGGCGATATCTTCAAGACGATTCTCCGATTAGCTCCTTCATTTAGGACCGAGATCGCGACTGTAAGGAGTATCAGAGCTTAGGACTATCTCCTCATAGCTTCATTTTTGAGTTGCACTATTAGGTCATGTAACCCATATTATTCCTCTTCATCTTCACCAAAACACTACACCGCCACCGCCGCAGCCGCCGCCGCAGTGTGAAAAGCGACGGCGCATCGGCTGGTTTCGGTGTGTGTGCACACGTGATCATGTTCGCTGCTGATGGGTTATCATGACGCCCTCCCGCGGAAATTGTAGGTCAGCTCGTCTTTTGTTTCTCGCGTACTTTGTAGTATTTTCTTACGCAACGTACATACGATACGCATGCCTTTCCCTCTTCGTTCACGTTTATTGAACCAATTTAAAGCAATTTTTGAATCCCGTTAGAAAAAACGTGGATGGTGACTTACGTCATAATTAAATTAGTACGATACAGTGGTGGTTTGAACAGTCAGCAGCTGTAAAGGAGGGTAACAACGTTATGTTTACAAAAAATAAAATTTCAAAGCTCACCGCCAATTCTTCGATGTAGTCTGTTCAAATTAACATTTTGGAATCATCGGAGATGTCCTCCCTCGTTATGGTGTTTGTTCTACTGTTATGGCGTCGGTTTTTTGTATGCGAATTTTCCACCGAATCCGAAATCCGAAATTTTCAAGTGAACTTAATGCATTAGCGACCTTGAGCATCATGACAATTCTCTATAAATATATGCTAGAGAATATTCAGGATTCGACAGATACTAAATAAATATACCCAAAAGTTTATACAATAGGAGTGGGTAAACAATATGGAAATCAAGCAGGAATTGGAGTTGACTGTATCTCTTCTTCAGAAAGGACGACCAAATTGTAACTGTGTTTGCCCTTGTCGTAGTGCGTGGCACAAATATTGTTTTGGTTAAGTGGAACCTATAATATAATAATATTGAATGTGAGATTGGACAGTTACAATGAAAAAGAACATCTGCGCTCTTTCTGCGAATTGAGCTGTGCCATTTTGAAAGGTCAACTATTTTTATAAGCGGAGAAGACCTTGATAGCGCTCAGAAGGTAATTATTTATTTAATTAGTTAGTTAGTGAGTAGTTCTTTTCTAAAACGTTTCAATTATTCCCACCTTTTTGCCCTTGTAAAGTAAGCACTAAGCGTTGCCAAATTAAAAATAGACGAGGTTATACTAATGAAAGCTTTTGAAATCTCCTACAAAGAGGCTTGCAAATTTGGTATTATGTCAGATCGCATATGGAACTGTAAAAAAATAACAGGCATTTGGTGGTATGAGAATGGTTCCTTGTCAACGCCGGGACCTTCCTTTCCTGCGTAAGCTTTACGTCTTCCGCTGTGGTTCCTTCCCACCTGTGACACCAACACCTCGTGGAGGTGACGCGTATGCAACAAAAGGAGTTTCATATAGTAGAGGGAATCGCCATAATCATGTCGTGACGGTAGATTTTCCGCTTCTCCTCATCCTCCTTCCTCTCTCCACTGCCCTCCAGCTGCCACTGCAGCACCATGTGGAATGAACGGAAGTGTGCTAAGCAGGTGTTTATATAGCCCTGAATCACAGTTATCCTATTACAAAACATTGATAGCTCAAGTCCTGCGAGCTACCCGATTCTGTTAGCGGTTGTTTATTCCATTAGCTGCCTTATCACTCACTTCATTTTGCGGACGGACACACAGACATACATACAAATCGACACACCAGCTTAGCTGTTTATGAAATAAGAAGGGTACTGTTGTGATTTCCCATCCTTTCCGCGCTCTTCCTTCGTCCTTCCGCTACTGCTGGTGCAGTGAAACCCAGCTGAATGTTTCGCTCAGCTGTTGTCTGCATATAATATCTCGTGGGCGGAAGTTAGCTTCTGGCAACACGCATGAGTCGAGGATCAATCCCAGTCTAAGCTCCTCTCTGGCCAATCAATTCTCCTTGTTCCCATGATCTGTTAATTGGTATTATTTTTGGTAATCTTGGGTTGTCTGTTTGCCCGCACAGGTATAGGCCAGCGGTAAGTTGAGATGTGGCTGAATTCTATATAAAATTAGAGTGCGTGGCGTGTAAAAGAAGGCTGATTTATTGCGGACGCTTTATCCTTATGTGCAGAAGCAATAAGAAGTGCGCTATTTGAGCATCCCAAAGTCGCTTTCCAAGAAGCAAGAAAGTTTTCACGGTTGCGCCGTATTGGAAAATATGGGGATGTTTTTGCGGGCTAACGATTAAGGCACTCACAAACATCGTTTGTTGAAGTCGCAACTAGCTTTTTGTCACGATATGTAATGCAGAATAATCATGTCGTATTTTCACAGATTTGAGTGAATACTTTGTCCTCGCCTAATTATTGTTGAATTAAGTTATGATAATTTAAAATAAAAAGTATAATTGCTTAATCACTCCCGAATATTTGACAGTAATCGAGTACGCCACTATTGTTTGAAATGCTCTTACCTTTTGTTGAATGAATTGTGCGGTTAATATCTATTGACATCACGATTCTTACAAACCAGAGCCTGACAAACTTGTGTTATTGAGTGAGGAAACTTCGGTATAGTGTTATACTGTTCAGAAAAACGTAGTTGATCGGGTTTAGGGTCTATCGCTTTTTCGGACCAAGAGTGGTCAACCTGCTTATGACCATGCGCTCATACTTCACAAGCAGCGGCCGTGCGTAGACCTCGGCCAATCAAATCTTCATTTTTGAATTCTTTTTCGCGTTGCATTTTTTGTAGTTTTTGCAAGAATGATGAATTATGTTGGGATTTAGGTCTAACTAGTATTTGAAAAAGTACTCGAAAAAAACCAAGCCAAGTGGTTCAGCAGTGAAAGGCCTCAAAAAGTGTTTTACCTCTATCTTAGGATTTCGCTCTCTGCTTCTTTGGACGAATCTAGCCATTTATGCTAGATATGCCCAATTTGTTAGTTATTAATTCAGTGCTTAAAAAAATCACTAGTTTTAGGTTCATCTGGGCTCCCAATGAATCATGACGGACATGTGATCAAACCTGTTAGTGGAATGGATACTTCATCTTTCTCAGGTCAGTAGTGGCTGTAGTAAGAACTTACTTACCGTAATGACAGGTTTTGTCGATTATATATGAGCGGGCAAGTGCACTGCTATGAAGCCCTTTTTTACGGGCATAAATTCAAGGCGAGGGCTTCAACAGTGTACGAGTACTTTTAGAATGGCATTCTCCGTTGTTATCTGGGTACATCAGCTCACCGTCACCGACTATGGCTGCAGGTTCACGTGGCTCAATGGGTGGCTGCGGTGGAGGAGAGGATGAATCAACGAGGAAAAGGCAGGTCCGGTTGCTGAAGAATCGTGAAGCCGCCAAGGAGTGCCGTCGCAAGAAGAAGGTTTGTTCTCTCTAAGGTTATTTATAATGATATTAGCTTGATGCATTCAACCACAATTTTTGTTGCGTTTTTTTTTGTCTGTAAGAAATGGATTTCTGCATAATATTTTTCCAATCGGAAACTTTTCTATTAAAAGTGCATGTCGAAAACTACTTTTACTTGGAAACCGTGTAGTTTTTTTCTTGTTCCCATCGAACTTGCTGGCAAAAAGTCGGTGGAGGTCATCAAAGGAAACGGATTCATCTTATGCGGCGACATCAGGATGTTGGGCTATCGTGGAATCATGGAATGAATTTTTAATTGAATTCCATAGAGATTTATGACAGCTGCGGTGGAGTTAGCCTAGTAGTGCTGAGCGAAAGGGGTGCTGTATCGTTATTGGGTTCCTTTTTTTCTTGCTGGGAATCGGACACAACACTGTAACCAGAAGCGAAGATTACCGGGATAAGCTCTATAAAAATCCATCCCGCTCCAATTACATATAAAGCTGCGGCTAATTGCGCATGAATCCCATATATATTTTCGTGTTTCGACTAGGTATTTTTATTTTTTCTTGCACCCATCGCTTAGATCCTTTGCAAATCAATTTCCATTTTAACTATTTCTACGGATCCGTTCCCTTAAGACCCTCTCTAAAATTTCTTCCCTTATTATTGCTCACTTTTTTCTTATTATTGTTCCTTCTTCTAGTTTCTATTTTCTGTTTTTGTAGGAGTACGTGAAATGTCTAGAAAGCAGGGTGGCTGTATTAGAAAATCAGAACAAGGCATTGATCGAAGAGCTGAAAACCTTAAAGGAGCTCTATTGTCGGAAAGAGAAATCAGATATTTAATGTATGTCGTATGGGGAGCATAGTTATCGAAGTATAGTTGTAATTACTGCGTAGTTTTCCTCTGCGAGAATCATTCTCAGATATCCTTCAAATGATTTTGCTATACGGTTCCATGTATCCTACCCGATGTGTTTCTGTGGTTGTAGTTTGGACCATTGTTTATGTTTGCTCTTGATGCGGGGCGCTGCTCGATTCAGTTATATGGCTACCATAGGTTCTTATAGACAGATACTCGAGATGAACCATTGATACACACACACATTTAAAGTGTACGTTATCATCAATTTTCTCCTCCAACTCTCAAATTAGCTTTGTTTAGTCGTTTGTGTTGTTCCTTGGGTTCTCGCTTAAATTTTATGTCGTCGTTGTAATTTTGTAACGTTGTATACAAATACGTTTTTATTGTTTGAATTGTTCTGAGCACAGCTCGTTTTGTGATAATTATCCCCTGCTTTGAAAGTTCTGTACAATTGTGATGAACATTGAAATTGATGGTGAAAGAATTCAGGAATTAGGAGATCATGTGTAGTAGGTTCGTTCAATGCCCATCTCAAAACTAGTCCGCCCATCCGTTGAAAATCAGAGTGAGTGAGTGGTAAAGCAGAGTGAGATAGAGATATAGGAAATGAGAGAGAGCGTGCTGATTTCGCGTAAAACCACCTGCCCGATAGTGACACTGATGGTGCGAAATCGGAAGCTGTCGTTATTGATTGAAAGTCTGCCATATGTTGTATTCTCATATTTGATCGTTCCTACTTGTTATGATGAGTGACGATAAATCTTATAATTCCATTGTACTCGAAACAAAATTCACAACACAACTGGTAATCAATCGGTCGTTTTTTTCTCTTAAAAAACCGGGAGCAGACCGTTTTTTGCGTATTGGTCGCTCGATTTCATCGTCGAACGCCCAGAATTCAGTTGAATGACACTGGAACGGGAATCGCTGAAAAGTTAGTTATTCAACGAAAAGAAACCAAGTATTCAGCCAAAAAGGTATGTCAGTGTTGCCCTATGGTATCGCTGGACGATGTGTTAGTTAACGCTTGTTAGTTTCAGGAAATGTGTTGCAAGAGAGAGGACCTTAGGACACATTTTCGGTTGCCTACGTATAGTTACCCGCTTAAAATGAAATTGGAAGTGCGAAAGAGATTGGCAATACGGAAGAAGGAAAACCAATATGTAGTTGTAAATGTTGAAATAACAGCCT